TATCATGCCATTATAAAAATCCATGGTGTACCCACATCTTAAATACTGCGTGCAGTTCTGGTCTCTGCATCTTAAAAAGATATGGTAGAATTAGATAAGGTACAGAGAAGGGCAACCAAGACGATCAGAGGTATGGAGTAGTTACTATACTAAAAGAAATTAAAAAGGCTAAGATTCTTTTAGTTTGAAAAGGAAAAGGTTGGGGGGGAATATGATAGGTGTCTATACAATCTTGAAGGGTGTGAACAAAGTGCACAGGGAACTGTTATTCACCAAGTCCCAGGGTACCAAAATTACAGGGCACCAGTGACATTAACAGGAGACAGATTTAAAACTAACAAAAGAGCACTTTTTTACACCATGTGTAGCTAAGTTATAGAATATGATGACACAGGAGATGGTAGAAGCAGATGGCATAGCCAGGTTAAAAAAGGGGACTCAAGAAATTAATGGATGATAGACCTATAAATAGTTGTTGAACAGAATGGTTGGAGATGTTTCCTCTGGCATCTCTATGAACAATATGGTAGGTGCCAGAGAGGGTAATGAATACGGGATAGATCACTCTAGATGTATCTGGTTCAGTGCTCTCCCACTAAAGAGACAGGATACTGGGCTAGATGAACCATTGGTCTGGCCCAATCTGACACATTTTATACTCTTCTGTTCTTATGTTTCTTATGTTCATTGTACACCTGAATAAATACAAATATGGAGAAAAAGTAAGTGCGTATCAACTGCCTTAAGTGTTTAATGCTCTAATTTTTAGCACGTCAGTTTTCAAAACTTCTGGTAGACTTTTTATATATTTACGCATCATTTTGTGAAATACATTGCTTTACCTGCTATTGAAATGCAGCCACCAGTGCACTGTAAAACCAAAGTCATTCATACCAGCTATACACACAACAATGTTTTTATGAGGAGGACTGAAAAAGTGCATTGTAGGTATTATTTAAACTTAAATAGGAGTTTTTAATATAAATTATATTTAAACTAAATAATTATATTTGGAACTAAACCAAGATGCCAGGATTAACATCACTTAAAAAATTGCTGTGGGATTACTGTTCACTCTGTGGTCTGGACCTCAATTTTAGTTCTCGTATCAAATACTGCTTAATAGCACTGTATTCCTGACACCATGCAAGGGAACTGATTGGACCCAAAAGTACCGTATTGCTGATTAGATTTTTCACACTTTGGGCCTTCTTCTTTTCAGCTATAGAGTTGGCTTTTGGCAGTAGTAGCCTTTTCTGTAGGTGCAGAAAGAATTTTTTTCTTTCTTTTAATTGACTCAACAATTTAGTTACTAATCTATTAGTTTAATTTATGAGCTAAACTAAGATCAATCAATTGTGCGCTGCACACCATAATACTCAATATTGCTATTTCATATGAAACTTCCTTGTTACCAAAAGTCTGTGATCTCTTCCTGTACAACTTCAGCATAGTAGAGAAATGCATGTTTCTTTTCAAATTACTGGTAATAAATACTTATACAACTGAAAGTGATAACAGGAGATGATGTTTTAGCCACACATTCCCCATCAGAGGTAAAGGAGTGTGCATTGTTAAATCTCTGTGAATCAGTTGAAAATCAACAGAATTATTTTTATTTTGGAACTGTTGCTTATAAGAATGCTTAACAATACTATGCGTGTAACTATTGGAGCACTCATTCTTCCACAGATAGAGCATATCAAGATTTAATGAAAATCTTCATTATTCAATCTTGCTCTCCTTTCAGGTATTAGCAATGCAGAAGCCCGCCAACCAGGAAAAGCACCTAACTTCAGTGTAAACTGGACAGTAGGAGACACAGGTCTGGAAGTTATTAATGCTACAACTGGCAAGGATGAGATGGGCCGTGCATCTCGCCTTTGTAAGCAAGCTTTGTACAGTCGCTGGATACGTATTCATGCAAAGGTATATATCCAAAATTAGGGAATTTTAGTCCTATGTTCCCATTTTATTTGGTCACATAACCTACCTTTTAATAAAAGGACCTGTATTGTGCTGTGCCACTTCATTTGTTGGGACTATTGTAAATTTTAAAAATTCCCACCTTAGATAAATCTTTTTTCTGCTGTAATACCTGGTAGGTTAACAATCCACTATCTAAAATGGACAGGGAAGTGGTGTTTGTCTGCTCTTCTTTAACTTGGTGATTTCTAGTCTTAAGGTATGAGAGAGAGTCATCAGATTCAGTTATAGCTTACTGTAAAGTAAAAAATACACCTTTGAGCATTTATGGTAATATTAGTTTATTGAATAAGCTACTTGCTCTCAGTAGATCTCCTGAAATCTTACACCAAAGATAGTAAGATTTACAAAGTAAGAGGGCTAAGATTTGTGAAATCATTTGCTAAGAGCAACTAACAACATAAAGCCAGGTCTGGGATTCTTACTGGCAGTCTAAAGAGACTTTCCTGTATCAGCAGATGTGGAGTAAAATCCTGGCTCCTTTGAAGTTATTGCTGTAGATTTCAGTGGGGCCAGAATTTCCCCAGAATTCTTCCCCCTTCTTTTCCCCCTCTCCCCTAGGAAGTGCAAGTTAAAGTAAAAGACCTGCTTTTTAAAGGGTTAGATTTCTTTGTCAGACATGGTCAATACTATAGGACAGTGGTTGTCACACAGGGGTACGCATACCCCTTGGGGTACTTCATAGTTTCATAGTTTCATAGATTTAGGGTCGGAAGGGACCTAGTAGATCTTCTAGCCCGACCCCCCACCAGGGCGGGAGAACAACAAAACCCCAAAACAAAAACGGGACTCAAATGAGTCCAGCCAGGTAGGCATCCAGCCTCTTCTTAAAGACCCCCAGGGTAGGGGCCAGCACCACTTCCCTTGGAAGTTGGTTCCAGCTCCTAGCC